TCGATTGCCGCATGAAGATTATATCCTTGATGTGTGTTCGTACGCACATCCTCGCGCATCGGAGGCACGCATACACGCGTATATATACACTTATATATATACACTTCGCGCATGTGGCCGTTAGATTCACGAAAGATGATGAGCGATATCAAGATAATGTGTGTCATCGACGAGCTTCGTCGCGTATTCATTGATAACAATCAACGTCACTTAATGTCACTTCGGCTCGCGCAATCGCATCGTGTCGATATGGGTTTATAGGTCGTAACAATACGACACGCATTTCGTTGGCGGAAATCGATCGGTATGATGGAGCGAACGAAAAATTCCATGAGCATCCGAAATGACGAGCGTATAATTAATCGGCATCGACGCGATGACAAGCGCGGCGAGCGTGGATCCTGTGAGATCACGAAAAGTCGAGAAAATTGAATTCGCGATCGCGGAATATTCGGATGCATCGGAGGAACTACTGAGGGGACTTCAGAACTCTTTCACCGATACCGGATGCAAACAAGAAATTGCTTTTATTGATGATATTTGTCGACGTTCCGATATTGCATCTTGCTAATAAAGCACCGCGCTTGCTATTATTTCATCGCAAGCCGCGGTATTAAGCGAGAGACACGTCTCGCCTTTCAAAGAGAAAAAAGAGTACAAGTTATCGGAATTGGTTCGCGTTTCTGCGCGGAATTGCGCGACGATACCTTTGCAAATTACGACTCGAGCGACGCTGCGGTAATTTTTGTATGCAAACTTGGTCGGTCGATTACTCCACTTTTCCGCGGAATCGTCAGTGGGCGCAATTTCGTATCCGAATAAATTGCTGTCTCGCCTATGGGATGAGCTCGGCGGTTGATTCGATGTCCTGCACCGCCCCGGAATTCCCGTGTGCGCAGCGGGAATTTACTATAACGGCGGATAATTCGACCGAGATAAGAGACACTCGGTGGAAAATAGTTTCGCCCCGAAATTGTAAGTTGCGCTACGGAACGATACGCTTCGAAATGATGCGCCCGAGAGTGGCTAGTCCTTTTACGACGACGCTCAATTTTATACACAGTGTGGTGCGGAAGCAGCAATATTCCTCTAATTAAATCCTATCAAGAGTCTGAAGCGGATTTTTTTAGCAATTAAGCCGTTAGCGATAACTTGACGGGGGCGTTGCGTTTATCAAAAGTTCGTCGGAACTTTCCACGTTCTCGGTTGTGAAGTTTTACCGGGACAGAGTCGCTCGGCTAAAGAAAAGTTAAAACTGGCACTCGACTCTTTTTATATAAAGGCCGTCTAATTAGTCTCGGTGCGAGACGAAACAAAGACGGTCGTAAAATAATCGGCAGCCGCGCTCGTCGAAGGGCCGCGATGTTATTTCTGGAGAATTTCTCGGCTGCGCTGCGTTTACGTGTTACGGACGTTTAAACGTGGTTTCGATGTCGGGATAAATATTATTAACATGTGGCGCACGCGTTAAATCACACGCCCGCCGTCAATTTCGCTCGTCAAGTTCCCCTTCGCCGCCGTACTTTGGGGAAAACGTAGAGGAGCGCGCAATCGTTTTCGTTATGCAGGAATAAACGTTGGACCCATTAGCGGCCGTATTACTAATAAATATTGGTGCTGTTTGCTGTCTACTAAAATTGCTTTTTATCATTCATCGCCCTAAAATCTTCAGTGACGAATCTCGGTTATACATAGTCGTCCAAAAAAAGTGTCCGGATAATCTGAAGTATAATAAGTAAGTATATAACAAGTTGTATTTTCTCCCTTTTGTAGAAAATTAATCTCCAGGCCTCGAGACTCTGATTTATATGGGGAATTAATAGACTAAACTTGGAATGTCAAATAAAGTTTGCAAAGAATTAATATTGCGCCAAATTGACTTTAGTCACTCTCCGGCACAAATTACTGCAACAAAACCAAAAATCTAAGAGGCAACAAAATACGTATATAACGCGGAAAACTTTACAATGCGGAAAAATACATATTTCTATGTCTCCCGAGTCAATATTCGACAGACTGATCGTATATTAGCATTATGAACTCCAGAAATATAACGCGTAATAGCATTTTGATGAACTCCGCAAAATATGGGGTAAGATTGCACGACCCTTACCACGCCGAATCTGTCAGACGTAAAATCTGTCCGTTTAACGTTGCTGTGTCGAGCGAAGTCATCGTCGAGGAAGTTTCGAGGCGCGATTTATGCCGAGAATTATACGAATGAACGCGCAACGATGGCCGCGAACGTTAAGTTAGAATTATTTGCATCGTCTAGAGAAAAAAACTCCGAGAAGCCGTCGGCCCAATAAAACGCACGGTCTTCCCTAACGAGCTCGTGACAGAGTCGTTGCAGTTTCCTCGCAGACGTTTTGACCTCCTTATAGAGCAAGAGCGAGACCTTCCCGCGATATTCTATTATATCGCGGGCGTTAATAATCTCCGCGTTATTTTCGCACCTCTAGCTTCGAATTCTCCTGCGGTATTTCAGCGCTAATTCATGAATCGAGGTTACGCGCATAAAAACGAGCGTACCATTGTGTCGGTAAAATGGAATAAACGGCACAATTGGGCGAGAGCCGGTGCTTCCTCTCGAATAGACTTAATCCATCAAGAGCGTATGAATTATATGCGATTATATGTGACAATACTTATTCCGAGCGTGATTTAACATTATTTTCCAACTACATACAACGTGGGATGATCATTATGCGCGAGAAACAGGCGTTGTGAGCCGAAGCGAGTGCCGGTCCGATTTCGCATAGCACGAATCATGAATTTCTTTTGCGGAATATCTCTGCGTATTTTCGTTCACGTGGACATCCAACATACGTGGTATACAGCCGAAGTATATGTATGTTTGTTCGGTTTTAATTAAAGATTAAATCGCAGTCGCTAAATGCGGAATTAAATACAGCAGACGCCGGCTGATGACCATGGCGATTAATTCATCTGGGGGTTCTCAGGTTGAAGCCCGGGATGCTCAAGAGCCTGCTCGAGGTTCGATCCTGATCAGCTGTTTCTTTGTCGCGAAGTAACGGGGATGCACTTGCGGCGCGAGTGCACTCACGCTTGAAAATCTCGTAGACGGACGAAAAATCTATTCCCAGCGCGACGTCACGGCCACTTCTGGACGCGAATGGAAATTCGCTTTCACGATCGATCAAGTCAGAACACGCACTTAGTTACAGTGATTTTAACGAGGCCGCACAACGAGGAAAGTGTCTAATTATATAAACGAATCGCTGACGCACTCCCCTTTTTATAGCCGCTCCGTGTTTGCGAGGATAATTACGAGTGTTGTAAAAGTGACTATATATCATCAGACGTGCAGAGTCTAAAAATATCCGCACATCGATTCCAAGCTGCGCGTGATGTCGCGTGATCAATCGTTATCGAATATCAATAATTTCCGTCGCCCGCGTTGCTTTCAATTGGCGATATTCTAATATCGCAAATGGGGCTTGACATACGTGTAGTGGCATGTCTTATCAATTAGCACCCCTGTCTAGATATCAGGACGGAATAATCCGTCGAACATAGACCGTCACGTCCCAAGCGCGCTAAAACAATGCGAATTCACGTCGCGGTATAGTCGCGACTGTACGTTACGAAACACAGTTGCGAGCACTATGCTGTGTTGTTGCAAAGATACTCTTTTGGCTTGATTTGTAATAATTGTTAATGCCGATTTAAAGCGAGCGGTAAATGCACGTGATACGATCGAACAGGATGATTCCTGTGTAATTTCCGTCGACGTCGTTGAATTTAGAGCGATTAAATTTGTAACATTGCGTGTCGTATTGTGAACAAAATAACACGCTGTTAAATCGACTCAACACGCACACATATAAAATAAGCCGGCGAACGGTATTCCTCGAGAGATATGCTCGAGATTGATTTCGCTTCCCTAGGTAATTTATTTAGTCGTATCATTCGTCACGGAATACAGATGCTAATCGCAACCATCCATCAGGGACTTCATTTTTAGATTCCGACGATCGGATGTAACCTTCGAGCAAATCGAGGTCTCGTCTCTCTGTTATATTCATCGGCAAAACTGGTAATCACGCGGTCGTGTTATAAATTCACGTTATTTAATCGAACGTAATTAGTTCCGCTTTGCGTTTCGCCAGTTTTATGAAAATCTACCGCGCCTGACGACCAGTTTGTTCGGCTTAATTGCAAATTCGGAAGGCAAAGCGATGTTTATATTTCGCTTTCCACATTAATATTTTATTTCGCCTGCTGCGGGTGTCGCTTGTTCGTCGCTTGAATATCGACTAACGACTTTTGGGAACGTGATTTATTATACGGTATTACAAATCGTCCTTTTCGCAATGCACTTTGTTTTATTTTACTCTGGAATGCAATAAGTCACGTATTGTCGCGAATGCAGGACACATAAACCGGCGAACCGAGGTCAGGACTGCTGAAAAGTTGCGCGCCTTTTAAAACTTCCTAGAGACATCTGACTCAATCTGACTTGACACTAAAAACCAGACAGTGTACGTCTCGCGAAGATTGCGTCAGGTTCTGGCAAATGTGCAGAGAGAGAGAGAGAGAGAGAGAGAGAGAGAGAGAGAGGAAAAGACGGATACTTACGTACATACACAGTTGATTACATAGACAGAATCGAGGCGAGCAAATATAGCTATTACACGATAGAGAGGAAGGCAGGATACGTTGGACGGGCGTTGAATGGTATTACTTATTTCGACATCTATCAGTGCGCGATCACGCGTCGTTATCAATGACGTGTTTATTATCACATGACGCAAAAGCACAACGGCGAGTAAAATGCGTCGCTTCAAGTGAAAATAGTTTATTACTATGGAGATTTTCTCTCGCGCATCTAATGCACGTGTACACAAACGACTCTCTAGGGCTACAAAGAGTCCATAAATTCCCCACCTAGTGCACGTGGAACGAAAACCTTGAGAAATATTCCGCTATGGTGACCTGAATCCCAGGAAAAGGATAATCACACGTGAGAAAAAATCGACCGGTGGTTTTTTTTACAAAATTATCCTTTTATTTCTGTATGGTATGGTATATAATTTAACTTTTCCTATTTCTTATAGTTCTGTCGCGTTACACGAGTGGAAAGAGAGAGAGATGTTATGGAAATATCTAAGTTACGTAAGTAGGTACATAACAATGGAAGTTTGGTGGATCTGACTAGACTTAACTATGTATAATTATATATAGATTGGTCCTTTGAGGTAATGGGTTCAGAACATTCTCGGAAGTACCTAATAACTATATTCGAGAAATCTTTCATCATAATATATATATATATATATATATGTATAAATATACGAGCATTAATAAATAAATAAATAAATAAATAAATCACTACACGATGCGCGCGCCGTGAACAAGACAAATCGACTCGCGTAAAAGTTGTTGAATCTCCTTAGATTTATCCGGCAATTACATTGTGTCAATTATAGCGGTGTCTCTATAGTAACAAGCGTAATAGGTAATATTTTATTGACACTTTAGATCCCCAGGCGTTTATTACCGAATCGACAGTTGTCAATATACTTTGTTTCTCTATGCAACTTGACTTTACACACGCACACACACGCACACATACTCTCATACACATATACACCTTTTTGGACCCTCGATAGCATCTCGTTAATTGGTAATATCGGTACTTAGTCCTTCTTTGAATCCAGGAATAATCCACAAAGAATTTGTTAGCATAACTTTGCGATGAACAGAATTCACTAGAGACAATACGAATGCCTAGCAGTTATGTAGCTCAGCTGTATTTAAATACTACTCCATCTCTACGATTGGTCCTGCCGGCTGCGATGAACGAAGATCTCGAGAAGTACTTCGAGCTATTCATTTAATATCGGCGTTTCGATCGACGATCGATGACACTTACGACTATCTTGTCTTGCTGTCATAAATAAGGCTCTAATATACAAGTCCGAAACTCGATCGTCTTCCCGAAATTTATTTCCCGACGTTTCCCACCGGCATGTTATAAAATCAGGTACGTCTAAGAAGAGCCCTCTTTATCAACGGTCACCTCTCAAGCCCGGGTGAAGAATACAATACAGATGCGACAGACACCGTCATTTATCTTGAAACAAACTAATAACTCGTAATTTTGTCCCACAATTTATCACGTGTGACATTAAATCGGCAGCATTAATCTCTTGCACGTCTTTGACGAAACGACTAACTCCATCCCGCGATATAATCTTCGTCGTCCGATGTATTACGTGACAGAAATATCTTAAATATACGATCTGAAATCGTCCATAAGCCCCGAATTCTACCTCGTCAGAGGCAAATCCATTCGTTTGGAAAGTTTCTGCTCGCCATTGGTACGCTTTCTGTCCCTCGATATACGTTGCGCGTAAAATCGTGCCAAAAGTCTCACCTGCTACATGTGAGAATAATAATAATCTGCGTTACGTCTGAGTTACGTCGGATTAATTTCAGACGAAGGATTATAGCTCCTTGCGTCATCTTTCGCGTATCATCCGCCGCAAACATTCGCGCTGCGTTAAAAACGAAAGGAAGTAATCAGCTCTACGTCAATACAAATACATCAGCTCTAAGTCAATTTACTAGACGATTCGCTCCGGACAAGTGTGTAACATTTCGAAGGTACAAGTACAATTAACGTTTGTACTGTTTTAGATTCGTACGGTGTGTGTGCTCGCTCGTATCTATCGTGTGCACTCAACGTGCGTGTTAATTAACGAGACGAAGATCGGACACATTCAAACTCGTTCAATTCCCGCGCGTGCGTCGCGCATAATATAAAAAACTTCCCTCCTTCTTGGATACTCTCTTTTCCGATACCAGCGACGATGTGGAACGATGCGTGCGAGCGGCAGATCGATTCGCGGCTGCACATGAGTTAAGCGCTAAACGCTTAATCGGACGCACGAATAAAAAGTCGTCCTTGACATTGCCTCGACACAACATAAATGTGCTCTCGCATAGCGAGTGCGTGGATCTCTCTCCGCTCGGGAGAGGTACACTCGTCCTCCTCATCCAACCAATTTCTACCATGAGCGCGAACAAAGTGTGTGCGATCCAGTCTGCAAACCGGAAGCCGGATCGCGAACACGTTCTCATCCCTCGCTGACGCTCTCATCCGGTTGATCGTCCTCGTCGTCTTCGATCGAACTCGATCATCCGGGCGGCGTCTTCTTTTGCTTTGTGAGCTCCAGCAGCACCGGGTAGTGCAGATCCGGGCAGTACTCCGGATTGTTCTGCAGAAGCTGCAAATGCCTCGACCAAACCGTGTCATCGTATCGCTCCGTCTGCCGCGCTATGAAGCCGCGTTTGATGGACGCCTCAGCGAACTTCTGGAATGTCGTGCCGCGTCTGGGCGCCATCACTAAGGCGATCCCGTCATCAGCCAGCCAGCCGTAGATGGTCTCCACCAGGTCCAATCGTGCGTCGTCGAAGAAGAGGCAGTCGGCGCTGAGGATCACGTCGTAGAGGCTCGACGGCAATCGCGCGTCTTCGTCGCCGTCAGCCGTCCGGGTCTACATAGAGAAATCACAATCGAGAATCCAGATCTCAGTCTGGTTACTAAAAACAGGAACAAAAGCCACGTCCGGGAATTTCGATGCGAGTCAAAGTAACGCGTAGTTAGAGATGAAATATAATTTGCACAATGTGTTTTACTATGAAAAAAAAAATGTATCCGTCGCAGTGAATATATATATATATATATATATATCAGTTTTTCGTAGAAGGTATGATTTTTTCGCACAAGGAGATGGTTATAAATTAAATCGATTGTATCCATGATTTATGACTATTAGCCAATTTATGACTTTAACTAACGCTCAGCTAATAGAATAACTATCGTGCTTGTGATGTCTTCGTTTTGTTTGTTAATATCCATATGTGGCACAGATGGACGAGTTAGATGAAATCGTATGTGATCTTTAGTGAGAAAACGACCAGGGTAACTCGATCGTCGAAATGTCGGACGCGTAGGAAACGACATTCAATCATTCAACGTCGAACTTTGCCAGATAAATTCGACGGAAATTCTCGCGTAAATAGACGCGGAAAGATGAATGTCCGTTTTTGCGATTAATCTCGGCCGATCACTATAAATTCCCAGTCTCAGCATCGGCATGGTCTCGATCGGTGTCGTTTGAGCGACAATTTCCCACGAAAAAGATGCCAATTGTGCGGAACGTTGAGAGCGACCGGAAGAACACAGACGTTACATTATGAAGGCTGCAGGAAATGGAGTTGAGGTTCAGCCGGAAGTGTCCGAATGGCGCGTCTATGTATCTGGGGCGAGCATCACAATGATCACACGGGGATTTCGCACTTCCGTGTGTGGGTGGCGGCTTTCAATACCGAAAAACCATATTGAGAAACGTGCACGAAATGTGATCTCTCTTATTTTCTCTGATTTTCTCCGCAAATGATATAAAAAATATAAAAAATTTAGTAGTATTCACAGTTAATTGATCAACTTTAATTTTGGATGCTAGTTTACGTGTTTTAGCGATGTGAGCATAAAATCGGATGTTTTGCTAAAAAAGAAAAATCTAAAAGCAACAGACATAGCGTAACTTGTCATCGGCAGTATGCATATCTTCTTCTAATGTACTTTCCCAGCAGTCCATGACAGTTATATCATGATATCATGACATCTCGAAATATGTCACGACAACGCACGTCTGCTTTACGTGATCCCATAACGTGGAACGTGTTTCGCAACAAGAAGTTTCCGCGACGAGTATTTTGTGGATGCACGATGCACTTGGCGCACGAAAACTTTTTGGAGAAGTAATAAAAAAGTATGTAAAGCACATAGATCAAACGTATTCGATCGTAATTTCGTAATATTTTCCGGAATTTGTCCTCAATTTTGCAGGTAAATTCCTCGGGAACGGTCACTCCGCCGGCGAATTTCGCGACGATTATACGGATTATTATTCCGTACGATCGCGGATTGTCGTTGTCCATCGATATTCCATCTATTCTAGGATCGCAATTCTCAGCTGCATTACGTTTCCCCGACGAAGCCTTAATTTTTCCATTCATCGACTCGCGATGACCGCGATGACTCATTGATCGTGGCGACGACGAGCAGCGCGCTCGTCAGGACGTGCAACCGCGAAGCCGGGCGTGTCGATATCCGATGATCCGTCGACTCGGTTAGCGGGCTCTCGTCATCGTCCTCGTCGCCGATGCAGATCACGTTGGCCGGAGTCGGACTTTACGAGACGCATTATTCGACCGCGGGGTCGGCGACCAGGCTGAATTCTGTGCCGCGATTAACCAAGTACGAAGTTGACCCTTCAATTTCCAATGTCACCGACAGATCCTCGGAACTCATACAAACGCAGACACTTCGCGCATTTTTTCACGAAGCAACGCTAAACTGCCAGAATCCGTAAATGTCATTGGAAATTCAAGAATTTAGAAAATAGAATGCTTCATAAAAAAAGAAAAAAATTGACTTATTTTTCATTATCTCGTGCAAATTTACGATATCACGTATTTTTCTACTTTTGACCAGTGATAAGACGAATCTCTTTATGTAATGCAGAAACCGGCGTCACGCGACCTGAGAGAAAAAAAATGCTCTTTTCATTAACATATTCAATATTTAATTTGTAGCCTCTGTAGCTGCGTTTCATCGTTGGAACATCCCTGTCACGCTACAATATTGCTCTGAAAATATTGCTTTGAACGGGGACACGCTTCTTTCGTTTGTATTTTATTACGCTCTCTGCGTGCGGGAATTCAGCAAAATATGACTTCTGAAAAACTAAAACGGCAGATATGCGTCTCTTAATTAACATACAACAAATGTGATGCAATTTCTAAGTAATTTTTAATACCGCTGTCAACTAACGACTCGACTGTGGAGAAGGCTTCAAAGATCCACAATGATACAACATTCAACCTCTATCGAGCATTTCTTCAACATTAGATTCGACAACTCCGTCTTTATTACCGTTTCGTTTCGTTTCGTTCATTCTCGCCTAAGTTGTCAGTCGACCCTAACATTCCGATGCGTTGTTTTGACAGTTTCTAACATCCTCGGTGACATACAGCAGCCTCATACATAATTTGGGACTATCGACCGCTCTTTCGGTATCAAGTTGAGACATTCACCTTAACGCGGTTACCATTGACCGCCGCCTGTCTGAGAGCTCTGGCGGCCCGAGCCCATTGCACGACGCCGCACTCCACCAGATCCGTCATGTCGTTCCTGGTGACGATGCAACGCGCGTTGTCCACGCTGGTCACGTTGCCGTCCGTAAGCGTGACGGCGCTGGGATTGCAGTATTTGGCAGCGAGGACGCCGGCCAGGCAGCTCATGCCGCCGCCGAGTTCAAGGACGCTCCGGTTCCGGCAGAAGCCGCGGTTCCTCAGCAAGTAGTAGGCCAAACACTCCTCGGACGGCCAGACGCACACGTTGCCGGTGTTGTTGAAGCCGATCAGCTCGCTCGCCGTGAAGCACTTGCTCACCCGCCGTATCTGCACGTCGTACAGCCGACCATCCAGCTCGGTCGAGTACTCGCACCAGCTGGACTCACCGTCCGCCAGTGTGTTTTCCAGCAGCGTGCACTTGAGCAGGCCGAAGCTGGTGAACCGTCGCACCGACACCTCCTCCTCGGAGTCGCTGCCGGTCGGCTCCGGCGAGCCGGTCAGTGCCCGGGCCAGGATACGCCAGCGGCGTTGAGCACGGCTGCTCCTTTTCGACACGCGAACTCCGCTCATTGTGACCGCGGCTGATTCTCGACGCGGTAAGATCTCTTGCGACATGTCACGATCGCCCACATCGATCGGTGCTCAGTGCTAAAAGACGCACCTTTCGGGTTTCCCTTGAGGCAGGATAATATTCTTGCACTCTCCGGGTCTCACAGTATGATTAATACTCGCGAATTATTTCCCATTCGGAAGCCCTATCCTTCGGCTGGGATTACACGTGTAGACGACGATATCGCTCCGCAGGGACCGGTGAAAGTTACTCACGAAGTTTACATGCGAGGTTTTGCCGGTTTCGCGGACAAGTTACCCGGAGGACGAGCGCTCACTTCGTCGCGCGGCGGAGTCGCGCTGCTGCGAGCGAGCTTGCGGAAGGCACGTGGGGGCGACGCGTGGTTCTCTTCATCGCGGAGCTCTTCGCATTCGTTGGTGAACAGTGCGCCGGCTCGGTTGGCGGATCATGCAGGATCCACCTCGCGTCCTCTTTCCTGCGACTACCGATCGAGACTCTGAACGCATACTTCTCTTCTGTCAGCCGGCATCGGCGGGGTACTGGCGCAGGGTCCCGCCGTAGGGGCTGTTTTCTCTCTCCCTCCCTCCCTCTCTCTCTTTCTCTCTCTCTCTCTCTCTCTCTCTCTCTCTCTCTCTCTCTCTCTCTCGACTGGCAAGGACGAGGATCGACGAAGGGACGGGCCAAGACTAAAAGCACCAAGTCAAGTTCTAACTCGCGCCACGCGGACGAGTCGAGCGTTCTCCACGTTAGGCCGGCGCCTGCGCGGCTCTTTTCGCTCCCTCTTCCTCGGCTTCGTGCTTGTGCGTGTTTGTGTATTCGTCCACACCTCCGTTTACCTTCTGCACATCGTCCGTCCGTCCGTCCGTCCGTCCGTTCGCTCGTCGTCCGACGTCGTCCTCCTCTCCGCGGGTGTTCTCTGACGGCCCTCGCGCGTGTCTGTCGCGCTTTCGTAAAAATCTTCTGGCGCGCTGTCGCTCGGGACTCGAGCCACGCGCGCCAGGCTCCTTCGGTCCAAATTAACCGCAGCTTTCCCGATTCGAAGCTGCTCAATGGCGAATTGGACTTGGGTCTGCAGTGCAGGCGTGGAATCGCCTCAACCGAGCTGCGCCGAGAACGCACTCGCTAGGGAGCTTCTTGAGGAAGCGACATCGATGGATCACGCTCGTGGGCCTCGGAGATTTATCATTCGGAGCATCGCGAGCTATCGTGGAAATAATGCCGAAGCGTTATCGCTCGCGTTTTTCATTAATTATGTAAATTTCAGAGGAATCAGCTCAGTTGCGAGGCAACGCTCGCAACGCTCGTGACTTGATCGGTGATGGGAAAGAGTAATTACAACACGAAGACTAGCAAAAGAAGTATCATGTCATATAACGCAAGACATGTTACTTACGTTAAGCTAATAATAGAAGTGTAGGAGACGACAGAGAGAGAGAGAGCTCGCTGGAGAAACATTTATCACTTCGTATCGGACCGTTGTTATTATCGCGGCACGAGAATATTAATGTCATCTTCAGCATTGGTTGGCGCGTGTTCAATGCCATAATTATTTCTCGCCGCCGGCTATCGTGTGCCGGCGCTCTAAGTATTATTTCCTATTTTTACGGCACGACGGTCTCGCTCTCTCCTTCTCTCTAGTCTCGTTTGGTCGGCCTGCCGAAACTTACGAGTGCCGCGACTCCCCGATGACAGGAGCGTGAGTGTTCGACAGGTGTCCCAGTTACGAAGTTTTAATGATGCGCAGGCTTCTGCTCGTTGCTAAATGTGAATATGAACGGAACGGCGGGTTCTTTCGCGTCGGGTTTTCTTTGAAGACTCGTAATTGCTTTCGCGGCTCACGCTTTTCATAAGCACCTCCGTCAACAATTCGTTTGTATCGTTTTCACTTCCTGCGTCTGCCCTTGGTCCCTTTCGGATTAGCGAGCTATAACGGCGAACGAGCGTGAGATGTCACGAGCGTGCGCTCTTTGGTTTAAAAGAGGGAAAGGGAGGAAGAATAAGGTCGATTGCTCGGCTATGACAGCAGAGATGAGAAAAAGGTGAACGATATTAACGTAGCCTTTATTTACGGCTGACTTGTCCGGGCGTGTCATATAAGCTTGGTTTCAACATCGCTACTGAAGACTCAAACGGGATCCGTGCGCCGTGCCAAAGCACGGACATTAAACTGTCACTAAACTAATATTTAAATTTTGGCCGAGGTTTCCGGATGACCGCCCGAAAGGCGTGTAACGCTAATCGCTCTTTGTCCGTTTACGCGATGTTGCTTCTTGATTATGCATAATCTCGATTATGCATAGTCTCGATCGAGTGTAAGACGATATCATCCGGCTCTGTTATTATCGCTCTGCTCTACTATAATACGCGTGTTTATTTTCACCGCCAACGTGCGATTCTTGCGGTGCACAATATTAATTGTATGAGTAGATAAATCACAATGGAATTTTTACTGACGTTCGCACTCAATGAAATAAAATTACCGTTGATTTTAGCAGTTGTATTTCGTTTCATCAATGTACATTTCCGCTGGGCTTCCGTATATTGCAAATTTTATTAGGGTATCATTTACCGTCGATGTGCATAATTCAATGAATAAACGTAATGTGTGTTAACCGGAAGATTCTTAATTTAAATAATGCTCGTAGCATTACATCAATTAGCGTGGAAGCTTAATATGTGCGAGGAAAGTCCAAAATAATATATTAAAGCATAAATAACATATGTGTGAGAATTCAAATTATGATAATTCGATCGCAATATTGTTTAACCTCCAAGAGATATCTCCAAACCTCCAAGGGAGAGAGACCTCCAAAAAATTCGTATTATCAAATTATTCAATTCATTACCTGCATAAGTATGAGTCTTTGATGATCGTAAGTATTTAAATATTTTCTATCGCGAAATCGGTAATATCTAAGAAAAAAAACTTAACAATTTTTCATTGGGCGGCCAAATTTCGAAACGAGTCAAGTTGACTGAACTGAACTGACAAGCCGGACAAATGAGTATGACTACGAGCATGTGCGGGTAAAAAAATATATATACATATTTCCGGAACAAAATACCAGTAGGAATGAATGAATTTACTTAACCGAGAATCAATAACGGGATACTAAAAGTCGCGTAAAATCGCGCGAACTCCAATTGTCCCTAACGTAAGGAAGAAAATATATACGTTATGCGAAATTACGAGGGAAGAGAAAAATTGCACCTTCATCGCGGACCTTAAGTTACGTGCAATCAGCAGTTACAATTTCCGCCTTACATGGGTCCTGCTAATACGGGCGAAATTCAATTTCCTCGAGAACATATCCTTGTGCCAAGTTAAGCTTCGAAAATCGTTTTAACTTTGTCTTCTGAAGCTAGAATATACGTGCTATGTTCGGACATTACTGTTCCCTTCATGCGGTCATTACTTGCGGTGTGCCATCTTATAAATAGCAAAAGAATAATTAGTGATAATAATCGCCTGTCTGCCTTCGCTGGGATTAATGCACGTAGGGCAATTCGCCGGATAGATGATAGCGAAAGAAGCACGGAGCGTATCCCTAGAATTCTTCATCTCCTCGCCGTATTATCGCAGATGGCTCGAATTTCTGACTCCATTAGCGATTTATCCGACGAGGCATGCGTCAAAACGCCACTGTCGCTTTCCCCGTTCCATTCACGTCCATTAAGCTCTCATCCCCGTATACGGCGGTCAACTTTTTAATTATTTACCGGATTCTCTATCTCTGATACAATTCGCGTGGCACTATATTTACACATCGCGGAGAAATCGGCTCGACGTTTCCTGTCGCGACGCGTCCAATCAGTTTCGTCGTAATTATAGCAAAATCGAATTTTTCGCGGTCATTGACACCGTCGTCTTGGATGGATCCGCCCGTGGGAACAATACGGCCTGATTGGGCGATTTCTGTGTGTGTGTGTGTGTATATAATGAAATTCTACATTAATCAAATTAAGAAATTTTCCACAAGAGAACCTCGTATCTATATTACCATAGGAATGATGTAAGAAATAATGTAAAATGAACAAGTGAGCAAAAGGTAATAGAAAAGCAAGTAAAAAGTTTACAAACGACTGATAAGCAAAAGCAAGACAAAGTGCCCGTGTTAGTGCGGATGTTTCTGTCTTTACCCATATCCCAGGAATAAATGTAAGTTTCCCGAGAGACACGGTAAACGCGAATTTGAATTCAAAACGTATAATCCCGTGCACTCCCGAGTGTAAATTCAATTTCGTTGAAGCGCAAGATAGCGCCGCTGATCTCTTCGGGGAGCGGTAGCGATGCGCTTGCGTTTCTGCATATATCAGCTGGCGGCGCTTGTACAATTGCACCGAGACACCGAGGCCACGTACCGACACGTACGTATCTATTTTATATTGTTTGACACAAATAAGATACGGTGGCAGAGTGATACCCGCGGCTTCTCTCGTGCGTGTGAATGGCGCCTCTAGGCGCAACGACAAATATAGAGGCTTTCCTTGTCGTGATAGAGCATCTCTCGTAAAGAATAATGATTCGAAAATAGATTTCCATCGTTCGTATCAAATATCTTCGGAAAAATGTTTGTTATAGTATGTTATAAACGATTCTTGCGAGAAACTCGCGGTTGAACGTGTAAATATACTTTACTGTGAGAATTACGGTTTTAGAGAAAAAGATAATTGCGTGACTGTGTTGGGGTTGCTCGTAATTAAATTCAAGAATGAAATAGTCCTGATCTCATTGAGTGGAATAACTCTCTTCCGAGAATGAGAAACGATATTCACTATTAATCAATTGCATATTCGTAAATGCTTGAGGACACGGTATGTTGGCGCGCGCGATTAAATCTCCGATTCCGCCTCGCGCCGCTTCGATTACGCGCATTCGAAATATCTTCTCTAGAACATGCATTCGCGCCATGTGCGACTGACGTAAGATGCGAGAACCGCGACGATACTATTATTTGTACCTACGTAAATGTGCTCGGGGAAGACGCGGACAGACAGGCACATAAAGACGCCATTCGATTTAACGGGGCCGACAATCGCGAGCAGCGAGCGGCAGAAACAGACGCGCGTTGAACGCCGGCGATTCACCGTGTGGGATCGATTTTACGCTGAAAACGATACGCGCTACGAGAGCTGTACGAGACTTTGAATCGCAGATCTGGATCTCAGCCTCCGAAAATATTCCTCTTTTGTTTGAACATGAGAACACTCGCGTGAAATTCCTGAGGCGCCAAATAAAGGGTGTTTGAGAAATCTCGTGCGGAGAATAATTTTGGAATGTCCTCTATCTTATGACACTCCGCTTTGGTGGAGGCCTTGTTCTCTGTCAAAAGTGATATCAATATTCATAGTGGTCGATACCAAATGCCTAGCAATAAATTTAGTCATCTCCATATCCATGTGCGAGGGCGGCTCGTCCATCTGCAGCAGTGCGACTCGTTGCAGTCCGCGAGTTGCGGCGCAGTGGAGTGCACGATCTGCAGAGGACGTGCAGCCTGCCGCGTCGTTCGGAAATTGATTTCTCCGATAATAGCGAAAAGCGAACGACGTATCACACAAATGGTAAGAAATATTGAATAGCCAAGACCATATTTCACTAATATTTTGGGACAAGTTTGTCTCCTTTCTGGAGAAGAGTAAAAGAGACAAAGGAGGAGAGCCAGATGAAGAGTAACACGTCACAACGTATTAGAATGGTAATGCGGCGTTCCTGGCAAGGATACCGACGCAATGCGTCTAGGCGTCTCGGGTCGGGACTGGCCGAAAATTACGCGATGACGTGAACGACGTCGATGAACGGTCAAAGGCGGACAGACACCAACGCCGCCAACGCCGAGAAATGTCCTTTGCAGTTGACAATATCCTGACAGGCATCACTGACGAGTATCGAGTAAATGCACGTAAGCACATGGTCGTGTTGGCCGATGACGAACGTCAAATGCCTCACATTCGCTTATTAAGGACAGACACGCAGATGCGGAGCTGCTATTGCTGTCATCGCTTTCATACAACTCGGTACAGTCGTAGGTGCAGGAGTGACGAACGAATGCCTATATAAAGAAACGTTTGATTTTAATAGATCGCTGATACTGTATTCGATTCTTCGTTCAAAAACATCGGTACTTGTATAAGGAATAAAAGAAATAGCGATTCTTGTGATAATAAACCTCTAGAGGGAAAATATACGGTAAAATTGATTCATATGAAATAATTCAGATATATATTTGTGTAGCTTCATTTTAAATTATGTTCCGTTGATACAAAGTCTATTAGTTGAATTAGTCGAGAATTTAAATGTTGGAGTTTGTCTCCTCTCGTCTACTCTTCGCTCGGTCTTCGGTAAGGAAAAGCCTTCGAATTCTTCGAAGAACACATGCTTCGTATAGTTCTCACATTCTTTTTAGACGCACCGCGTAAAGCACCGCTTAGGTGGTCAAATGGGTTCTAATTTCGGTATACGGTTAGCACGTGGCTTTATTAACCGGAGGGTAGGGTGCCGGTTTTACGCACGTGAGAATCGACGAGATAAGGTGGCGCCCGTGTCAAGGAAGTTGTATTTTTAGTAGATATGGGAGTCGTGGCCGTACACTTTTACGTCCGGGAAAAGTGAATAGCGATATACTAATGGCGAGTATACGGAATTGGAGGGCGAATTGGAGTGAAATTAAAAATTCAGAGGAAATATAACGACCGCAAGAGAAACTACTTCATAAAGTAATCCTTCTCCTTCTAAAGGTTGCTTCTCTGCAGCAAAAGTACTAGTGAAAGAATTTCTAAAGTGGATGTATAAATTTTAAATTCCTCTTGATGGCGATTGAAGATTTAGGATTTGACTGATAGGGTTAAACGGTTATTGTCGGAAATATGTCGGTTAATGTTAGAGAAAAAGGGACTTTTCCTAACATCAGAGTGATATGCAAAAATAACGAGAAAGAAGAAGAGAAACTGTTACGCAAGGCAAAAGTGATATGCGGAGACGAGGATGGAAACTTCAAGACGCGGAGTATTAATCTAAGGCAATTATAATGTGCCAATCCGCCAGGAGATTACTGTATACGAAAGGATGTCGCGAATAGATGTACAACCGCGAGTGTGGAATCGCGGGAGGAAATCGCATTATGCAAAATACGTCTAAGCTGTATGCGCACGCGGCGCTTGCAAACTTTTCCCAGTCACGGATTTGTGCGTGTAGCATAAGGCTGGAGCGATTCGCTTTACGAGAACGATACAGTGTGGATTACGAGAGGTGTTATCAGCCACGCGCAGATAGTTGCGCTACGTTGCGTTACGGTAAATGCTGTGGTAACACGCTACGTTGAATGTTACAGCAGCCGTGAGCGGCCCAGAGCACGAAAACATTACTAATTACACGGCTATTCACATAACAAACGGATATTCCGATAAATTTTATTGTTATTTTATTGTCTTGTTCGACATAAATAACAAAATGCAATAAGGTTAACAGCAGTATACAAGTCATGGGTGCGCTCAATTGGTACGCCGACAGCTGAAAGCTGTTATTAGGCCAAACCAGAATGTACATACATAGAAGAATGCAACGAAAAAAGTAGAAATACAAAAGAGAAAATACAAAAGAATAAGTACAAAAGAATAGCATAAAAGAAATACACTATTTAGAATGGATAATGAGAATAAAAGACAATATAAGCGGCAGCGACAGTTCTGAAGGAGATGAGGAGGCTCTGAAATTCGTATAGATGTAGGCAAAGAATTGAAATGTGTTGTTCTATTATCCGTTCTTCGATATAACGTGCCGTATTTTGTATGATATATATTCCGTTAATTTATCGTAAGCTTGTTAAATGATACGGGGAGCGGATTTGCCTAAATATGTACTTGTAAGTTGAGACGTCGACCGGAATATGAAGCACGTTGTGCTCACGTAATTACGACATTATTCGCAACAAACAAGCGAAGAGAATCTGGGAGCATAAACAATTTATTGAATATATTTCGCGTATATAATGATGTAGATAGTTGTTAGCCCTTTTTTTACTATATCCTTTATTTTACTATATCATATAATGGCTTTGGACTGGTAAGAGCGGCTAATTAAATTTTCCCACAGATATGGAAGAATATAATTACATTTTCCGTTCCAACTAAATTACCATACTCGTAATTTTTATTATGAATTGGGGGTATGCGTGGCAAAAATTAATTACGTTCATGTTTTATCAAATGTGATTTTGTAAATTTTGCAAGTCGTTACGTGCAGCAAGAACTTATGTTTAATAGAAAAATTATGCTCGGAACTATATATGATATGTAAATAAAACTTATACATACTGTTCCTCGATTTAAAACTTTTTCAAGATTTCAAGCGCTTTGAGTGATATAGAAAATATCGACATTTTTCGTTAAGTTATTTTCTAGAAGCGAATTTAGCTCAAAAAGACCGAGATATTACAATGCGATATCGACGGTCTTTGATATACTTGTTGTAGAAAACGACGCATTTTATGCACGTTACACGCATTGTCAAGAGATGCTATAAATGAAGCGAGCATTTTGTCATATCGAACACGATATCGCAGTGAATAGCTTTATACTAGGAAACGCTCGCGATATAAGCGAACATTCGTGAAATCACTCACGCGTAATATCTTTCTGATAAGTGTATGCAGTAAAACTGCTATAAAAAACATCTCAGAATTCGCAAGGACGTACAAACAGCGTTATAGCTTGTAAAATTTGAAGTTTGGATGTATTTTTTATTATTATTGGAATTTAAATATTTAAAAACTTGTCATTTTGATTCTGAAGTCATAGTTTAGAATTTTGTATACGTTAGAATTGAACAATCGCTAATAAATTTAATTTTAATTTTTGATATTTAATTACAAAGAAAAATATATTTTTGGGTAAACTTTCAAAGACTACTCATGCCTAATTATCATGAATTTTGATGAAAAATACTCCAAATGATTTCAGATGAATGTCCTTAAATGGATTTCTATTAAAAAAAGAGTTTAAATAACATTATATATCATTGATAATATATTATATTATCTTCTTAGACTTTCCTCATATTGTGATCATATATTTGCTTCATCATATATTTGCATATATATATCATCAAATGTTTTGCCTAAATATTTTAAATCAAAAGATAAAGTAATTACATCACAGTGAATTAAATTAAGTTAAATCAAAACAAACATTCATTTATTATCATACGTAGACATCAATGCGTAGACAATCACAGTGCATAGATAAGTCTAGGAAAGTAGTATAATACTAAAAACAATACATAATGTTATTTGAATATTTTTGGCATTAAATTTATAATAATTATTAAGCATGGCGGTTTTCAGATATTTATCTCACTAACGAGATATTCACGCATGATTCACATGAATGAGTCTAATTTACATTTTGTTCTATAAAAATAGGATGAAGATTAAAGTTACTCACATTTGCTGCTTATTTCTTGACGATGTTTTGTTGATGTCCCGTTGACAATGGACGGATCAGTTTAGTGCTCCAATAATTATCACCAATTTTTCAGACGAAAATGTAAAGACACTTGCGATGTTTATCTCACATAACCTCACTATTCCGAGAACCTTCACTTTATACTAACAGACCATTCTACTTTGTTATCGCTGCGTCGAATTAGGAACGAGGAGAGCACTGAGATATGCGTGATCTTCTGTATCCAATATTGATCGGTTGATCAAAGTTGTAAATATATTTGCGATAAAATAATGTTTCGTAGGTAGTGTACAAATCCAAAGCTCCGACAGAACGAATGAATGGGACAACGTCAGCTGATCGAATTCGACACATACCGCCATCTGGCGTTCGTGATATAAATTAAATTCAACGATAATGCTTCGGAAAAATTTGATGGTAATTCCTCCAACAAAAATGTATCTCGAAATTGTACAAAATCATGTCATAAAAAGATGTAAAGAGATCTGTTTTCTTTAACTGTGTCTATACTTTTCACAATGTTTCTTATTCTTTTATCTTTCCCTGGCAGAATTGCATTTGTTTCACTTTCAACCAGAGAGAAACCTGAGAGCGGCCAACACGGCGACAGTTTCTGCGACACTGATTTTCCGCACTAGGAAAGACGTTAATTAACGCGACGAGACTCCGATTATAAATATCCCGCAAGTCGACGAAATATCTGAATTTTTAAAAAAAGCATCAGAGAAAATCACGTTGATGTTGTCATGGGTGAAATCTTACCCTGGTATATATATTTCTATTTTCGAAATAAAAAAGCCAAACGAATGCAATTAAATGTTATTTATCATCATTGAATATTAGATGAAAAGTAGAAAAGTTATTGTCCGTAACGGACAATCTAACATTTAATAAGAACGAGACAAAATTCGCACGGGATGAAATTCCACCCTTTAACGCTACCATGACGTTTAATTATTCTCCGAAAACGACATCACAACAACTTTGACACTCTGTACAATTAGTTGCTAACACATTTTCTAATCGTATACATTCCTCCTTAATTAACATAAAGCTAACAAATGTCCGATGCTTCGACAGAGTAATTTTCTTTATTTTCAGTAATCAATAAATAGAGTACATTAATATTGCGTACAGTTGAAAGGCCTCCTCGCATTCTCCTCGTCATTGAACTTTCGAGAAAAGAAAAGATGCCCAAGGGCAAGTCTCTCTTGCTTCAACCGCTGCCGAGGCCCGCAATGTTTACATCGCGCCGATTGTGTTGATCGGCTCTCGAGCGACGACACTTTTTGCCCTTCGTATTAATCCTCGCGCGTCTCGCGTACTCGATCTCATTCCATCAGCAGCAGCCGTGCGCGACGCGCTCGTCACTTCCGTCTCGTGTAATTGAAAGAAATGTATCTCGTCGATCCTCGAGATACTCAATCGGCATCGCGTCGGTATCGTGTTGATTAACCGCACGATCGAATCGCGAGTATCGACACTAGAAATGTGAGCGAGTGAAATCCGAAGGATTTCCAGCAGCCGAGAAGCAGGACGCCGGCAGTGATACGTCACATTTCCAGGTATGTGAAATCATTTATTATGCGGGTAGTCTCCCATAACGAGAGCGGACATTTGACGAATTTTCCGGGAATAAGAAGTCGGAATTTCGCGCTCGGCATTCACAATCCGTCATCATCCGACTAGTAATCATCACTTTATGAATTTGCAATTACTCTCGTCAATCTCTGTCTGTCTATCTATTTATTGCATTGTTGTATACAAAAGATATTGATCCAGACAGAGACGGATAACGGTCCATGAGTACGGATTTCTAATTCATGTTCTCAATCAAACATTCTGAATAATTCCCAATCGTGTGAATATACCGGTCTTGTGTAGAATATTCAACGTCATACCGTTTCTTAGACTGCGACCTTTTTTGTTTTCGGTCAGCGCTTCTTTCAAGTCTATTTACTCTCGTTACGGGATCTAAATTTAACTGTCCATTCGTAAAAGAGTATTTTCGAGAGCACACAACTGTTGTCTCCGCTTCTTGTTGTCATTTTTTTTCGTCAGCTCTTTCAAGAGCTCCAAGTCCTATCTAGACTTTCAATGTCAATGAAGAAAAAAAACCGTAGCGAATATTCTCCACTCATCCCAACCAAACATTCCTTCTCTACCGCAGCTTACCAACCAAGAACGCTAAATTTTTGTTCCAGACGTTGTGAGAAGCAAGTCCGGCGGACGCGGATGGCGCACCGGAGGATCCGGTTCGGGCAGAGCAGGGTCGGCCGGAAGGTAAAATTTACAAGTTTCCTACATCTGTGTTCAACTCTTTACAATCTTTGCCTTTGCAACTTGTTCCTCATCAGCTCTCTTGAAAGCTTCATGTCTCATTTAAATTTTCAATGTTGGAACAAAAATTTAAAGATAAAAGTCCCATATCAAAATATTTCCGTATTTTCGATTCGTCTCGATCAAAGATATTCTCTCTCTACCGCAGATTATCAACTGGGACAACTACTTTTCTGTTTCAGTTGTTGCGGAAAGCAACAACAATCCGGCAGATGCGGATGCCGTACCGGAGGATCCGGTTCGGGCAGAGCAGGGTCGGCCGGAAGGTAAAATTTACAAGTTTCCTACATCTGTGTTCAACTCTTTACAATCTTTGCCTTTGCAACTTGTTCCTCATCAGCTCTCTTGAAAGCTTCATGTCTCATTTAAATTTTCAATGTTGGAACAAAAATTTAAAGATAAAAGTCCCATATCAAAATATTTCCGCATTTTCCATTCGTCCCGATCAAAGATATTCTCTCTCTACCGCAGGTTATTAACCGGGAAAATTATTTTTCTGTTTCAGTTGTTGCGGAAAGCAACAGCAATCCGGCGGATGTGGATGCTGCATCGGAGGATCCGATTCGGGCCAAGCAGAGTCGGCTTGAAGGTAAGTTTACAAGTTTATTATAGTCCTCTGTTTGATCCTTGGCGATCTAGAGCTGGGATATAATTTCCGGCTCGAGTTGAATTACGATCGCAGAGGGTAAACTACTCTTTTACTCGCCCGTACTCGTTGGTCAAATCTGATGAGCGAATGTGAATTTTTTGTTACAGAGTTGAAGCGGAACGTGGCCGACTCTGACTGCAAGTCGTTTCGGTGAGTCAAAATAAAAAGGGATACAAAATTCTGCATGATGGATGTGGGATTAAAAAATATCGTTCGAGTCAATGCAAATTGCAAATAGATTCTTGCATGTGTGTTTGTGAAACCTTGAATAAAATACATTGCTCGAAACAATCAGGGGATTACTTCATCGATAGCCCGCATTACATACGAGATTTTAAAATATCGAATGATTCTCTTTTGATGTTCAGTCATCTGAATAAAAGATATTCATATCTACAAACGCGATACGGTCATCAGCTGCTTTATTTTCATTTTTCAAGCGGGCCGCAAAATTATTTAACGAAAATTATTTGACAATATTCAATTGTCCATGTAAAATATATTCATACACATAAATGCCGATACCGTTGGCTACTTTTCTTTTATTTGCAAAACAGGCTGTAGAATTATTTGGCAATATTGTCTATTTATCACGATCCCTATTGTCTCGAGTAACGTATAAATATAAATATAATGCGCGCAGAAATTGCGCCAGCGCACGTCGAGCTTGAGGTATCCTCGCTCGCGTGCCTTTGAATATCGCGACGCAGTTACCAATATACGCGTTTTTACCGCGCTAACAAAAAGAAAGCTTAAATTCTCATTTCGCCAAAGTATCGCGAACGTCGTGACGGAAGTATCATGCGTGAAAACTTTACCCCGCTCTCTCTCTCTTTGCGCTCCCTCGGAGTGACCGGTTTCTTATTGTCTAATCTTTCCTCGCGTGCATTCGCGAATATTCTCGTAGATATCGATACTCCCGCATTTTCGCGACTTTTCAGGCGCGATCGCGAAAAGCGCCGTGCAAATCCGTTGGACGAGTCGATAAATTTTCACACGGTTCTTGCTCCTCGCCAATCGAATTTATAAAGTCCGTTTCGTAGCACGTAAAAAGTTTCCATCGATGTCGACGTAAAACGTTCGTTAATTGACGCAAATATCGCCGCTCTAATACAACTATCGACCGCGTCGCGGAAGTGTAGCAATCAACGTGGGACGCGCTGCAAGATGAATGCTGCGCGTGGAGAGCGGCAGCGGACATGGACGGACACTGATGGATCTGGTTGGATGCAACGGGGCATCATCGATATCATCATCGGTGAGCGTTTGATTCAATGCTCGCAGAGAGCTCTTTTATTATTACATTGTGCATGCCGCAAATTTGCATTGACTTTTGTAACGAAAAATATATTTCATGAATTATTGTGTATCATATATTATGGCCATATATTATTGCCATATATTGTTGCCATATATTATTGCCATATATTGTTGCCGTATATTGTTGCTATATATTATTGCCACAAATTGCCATGTATTATCGCCATATATTATGGCCACTTGAAATCGCGCGAACAATCGAGATAACTGAATTTGCCGATAATCGTAAAGGCGCGCGGCAGACGTCACGGACGGATGACAGCAGCCCGTCTCAGGGCTGCCCGATAACAATACTCTTGCTGCAATTTAACTTTAAACCACAGCAGCCTCCGGTCGCAGGAAACTTTGTATCGCGGACTAACCCCTCGAGCGGAATGTTCCCGAGAAACGCGCTTGACATAAACGCTGGTTATAAGTGAACTTGCCTCGTTAGGGCCTCGTCGCGGTATCGTTGTCGCGGAAAATAAGGAAGAAAGGGGCTAAACATCCGCACCGTTGTGAAAAGAGGGCCGATGGCGTCCCTTCGCGAGTAGAATGTTAGGCCCTTGCGAACGCGAGCGTTAAATTCCACCGCGGCTGTGAACGTCCCCCGACTAGTTTCTTCGCGGAAACCGAATCTTCATAACTCGCGCTTGATCGTGCGTTGAGACTCTATCGAGGGTGGGAGATGGACGTTGATGATATAAACGTGACAAAGTAGTCGCGCATTTTATGATCGTTCTTTAAAATAGGCGCTTCTTTCGTCGATGATAAAGACAAAAAAATCAGAGCCTGCTGCCGGTGAGGTCGTAAAAACCGCGTGTGTTTCTTTCCGTAGCTGCTCCCGCGGCTGTTCCGTAATCCGCATTACGATCATTTCTACGGATAAGTATGGGGAAAGTGACATACGCGGATAACCTTTGTCCTCTGAATAATAAGTCAAGTAAAGTTTTCCAACTCTGTGTTACATCGTATATTGGCGTTGGATATTATTAAACTTATATTACACTACAGGAATTATTTTTATGATTTATAATATTTATTCTAAACTTTAACATGAATAAACTAAAATGGCGCGCGCATAACGCGCGCTTATAGTGTTCTAGTGTTATATAAACGCGTAACAATGTGCGAGACCGTGGTAGTCAAGTACGCGTTATTATGGTTGTAGCATAGACATAAACCGCCTGAAAGTGGATGTAGCACGAACTGCCACCACATGCAGGTTTTACCGCCGAAACCTAAAAGTAGATGTAGCATCGTAGTTCTCCTCTCGAAATGGATGCAGATGGCGCCCTTTCCCAGTCGGCGGAAAGTCGGTGTCATCGAAAACACCGTGTTGGCCGCTCTCACGTTCCTCTCTGCTTGCAACACAAGAGATGTAATATGATGCATTAGAAAGAACGCCTAATGTACCGGCGCTAAAATATCTATTAAAAATATCTACCAGCGTTAAAATAGCATAAGAAGCATTTTAGTATGTCGCAAATGCATTTGTGATTCTATCTTACTCGTATCTGTCGTCGACGGGGCATAATGCGTACAAGTTACGGGTATCAACAGACATCGCGTTTAATTGCGTTTGAACAGCCCGATTGACACACTGAAGTGATCACCCGTCACCTCAATTGGACACTCCAACACTCCAAACACTCGTTCGCTCGCGATATCCACTTTGGATCTGTAAACGGACGTAACGAGTACTTGCGATTCCAGTTGAGACCTCCGCGAAACGACGTGAACTGCCGTTACTAGCGTACGATACATATTTGAACTATGTTTAAAAGATAAATGCACCATTGTGATTGGCCAAGCTTTCGATACTTCGAGAAACTCGATCACTGTGACATGCATCTATAGTCAGTTACTGAGTAGATCGGGACGCGAGATGGTACGAGCTCGAGAATCCGTTCCGCATTTTTCACGATTTTAGTTGATTGGTAAGTCTCGCATGCAAATTATTGTCACCAGGAGTATCGAAAATAAGCGCTGCGCGTTTGTTATGAAAAATATCGTCGGATAATTGGCGAAAGCGATTATCTCGTAGAACGTACCATCAGAAATGCCGGATCAAGTTGTGTGTGTTCGTTAGTACATGGCAACTAGGTTTTGAGTCAATACACTTTACTTTATCTAAATAACAAGACATCCCAATATCGTGCCAAACGTGTCCAAAATATCTGAAGAGTGTCAGGACGTCCTGAGTACACTCAGGACGACCTGAGAACATCTTATGTTATGTGGATTATGACTCGCCACGGACAAATGTGACACGCAAATTAGACCGCTGGGAAATAAATTATGTGCTTTGCTCGTGATAAGAAATATTTTGTGCATTTAACGTATTTTAAATTGCGTGATATTCTAATAAAGGGCTGCGTTCGAAAACGTCACTCGGGTACATTTGCTGCGTTGGTGTGAGAGAGACATAAAAATGAGATAAAGAAAAAGAGAGAGAGAGAGAGAGAGAGTATCCGAGTGACGTTTCCGAACGCAGCCAAGGAAGATCGTAAGTGCACAGTTATGATTGGGCGACTCGCTGTGAGAAGTATCGAAATTTCTAGAATCTCAATCGTCATATGTGCCTATGTTCAGTTAGAAAGCAGGTTGCAACAGGATAGCACACAGCTCCGAGAATCCGTGTCGTATTTCCCGCAATTCTGACTCATCGACGAGCCTCGCGTGTGAATTATCGTTGCCGGGAGTGCCGAAAATAAGTATCGCGCGTTGATTGTGAAAAATGCCGTCGGGCAGTCGCCGAAAGTGATTATCTCGCGAAACGAGCCGTCGGGAACATGATGTACGGTTTGGCGCGTTCGTCACGTAATGGCGGTCGAGTTCAAACCGCCGAACTTTATATTTTCGACTCACCGAAGGAGTCTCGCGTGCGAATTCTCGTCACCGGGACTGCCGAAAGTAAGTTTCGCGCGTCTGTCGTGACCAAACATCGTTAATTAGCCGCCGAAAGTGATTATCTCGCGAAATGGCCTGTCGGGGATGCCGGATAGAAGGTCGTACGTCATGGCAGTTTAGAGCTCAGTTGCTGCTTTCTCAACTCACCGACGGAAAGGTCGGTAAGTACCAATGTATCAACCGATAAAGCAGAGACTGCTTGAATTACGCTTGTGACTTGTTGGATTGTGCATACATTCCATTCGCGAATTTGAATCGGACGTGTAGCGATTGATTCGTAAGAAATATTGTTGCATTCTATAAGCTTCAGATAGAACTCAAGAATTAATTTTATCAGATATGTTAATGATCTTGACGTTTCATATATTTACAATCAAATCTTAAGCTCTTTCAAGTGAGATTAGCCTCGAGTGTTAATGAGATATAAAAACTGATGAGCTTCGAAGAATTTGTACAATTGCTGGTATTTGAACAATTTACGATAATACATAACATGGTTAACGGCCTTTAATGATACTTTGCAAAATCAAATTCATCCAAGTTACATTGTTCTCGCCGATGTTGCGGCAACACGTGTAAAAAAACACGTTTCGTGTGCAACATAGATAAAATCATCGCAAACGCGTTACGATGCGACAACGGCAATGCGCCAAAACGCGAATTCTGCCCTACTCCTAAAGTACGGTCAGTTGCGCAAATGCGACACACATTTGACCTAACCTAACCCAACGTCACTGTCATAATGTTAATCCGCGAATCAGTAGATAATTTTCCTAAGCTCGTACCGATCGTTATACGCAGTTTTTTTGTCAAATCAAAATATGAATCGCGATGTGCTGCGATTACATCGAGAAGAACGCGAAAAAAGTATGTGCAAAAAGGCGCATATTACAGTGACAGAGTTTCCGAATTAAGGCGTTTATTAACCTTAAACTCGCGTGCCGCTACTATGACGTAGAGACTGCAGTTGACGATAGCGAGTACCATGGGCAAGCTTAGATTAGGGTCAGAGTATATTCCATTAGTGGACGACGACATGTCGAAGGCTCGTGTTGTCATATCTTTCGCCAAAGTAGCATGGTTGACTGTGTCCTTGCCATGTGTGGCGTTTGTTTTTTGTGTCGCCTGGTCGGTCCTCTATAATTTTGAACATTCCACCTCCACGCATTGTCAGGTATAATTAATTAATTTTATACGCTAGGAACGATTGTTCTTATAATATCAAGGCCATGAAACTGGTCGTGACTCAAGTGCTGTCAATGTGAATGACTGTGATTTTTTTTTCATGATAAGAAACAAGAGAGAGGTTCTTAATTAATTATATCAACTGGGAGATTGAAGGGAACTTTGAAATAACAAGATACTTGATCTGTAAATTGTGAAAATATTCCGTGTTTATAGAAAGTAGTTCTTTGCTGTGACATGATATTTTCAGGTATACAATTTTTTACCCTCTGTCTCGGCAGCTATTGGTCACTACAGACCTCAGAGAGATATATGGAAAACTGCCATAGCCTTACAAGCAATTGTCAGAATTTTAGTATGCATGATGTACTATCGTTATTATAAGGAACATGTTTACAAGTGGGCACGATACTTAAGTAACATTGCACTTGCCATGTACATCATTGAAAATATATCTCTTGTGACATTGAGCTTTTGGACTTCCGATGAGAATTATGGTATGCAAAATGCATGTATAAATATTCATATGTGTTATTAAACATAAGAATATTACACGCATTTTGCGATGCAATAACATTGACATATAACGTGGCATTTCTTACAGCATTTCATAAGATGTCTTTCATAACATTTTTGCTAACGTCCTTTATACACATGTTCCTAGTGTATTTTATTATGAGGAATTGTCGAAACGTTACAAAAGACTGGTTTGATGTTGCTTCTTTGAAATGGAAATGGAGATCAATGATGTTAAACGTATTATGTATAATAATTGCCTGCTATTTCTTTTATAGGCATAATAAATACTGTGAACCTTTTGGTAAGACGATTTCAATTGATATTGTCGTTATTATAATGTCGTTCTTATTATCTTAGAACGACTGTATAATTTCAGTATATTCAATGTTCGCATTGAGCGAATATGGAGTTGTGCTTTCAAACATGGGATTTCACCTAACTGCAGCATTGGATTTTGCTACAACGCGCCTGCTGATATCAGGAAATGGGCTTCGCATCATTTAATAGTATTTTACATACATCACAGGTTGAATGTTACGTATATATACTTAAGCAATAATGTACATATAATGTACATATTTTTATCTAAAATCTAATATGTCTGTCTCCTAAATTAGAGAAGAGGATTAGACGATTTACTTAACAATATCAGTCGCAGGTTCTAAAAAGTCTTGTAGATAGTAGTAGATCAAATCTTTTTACAGAAACAAATTTCTCAGAGTGGTTTAGGTCGTACGTTAGATATATGCATATATATTTTATTTCTTAGAAAACCAAATTACTTAGGTATACTATACGAAATATTATTTGATTCAGAAAATATACCTATATCTAGCTTCTTTAGGTATCCTTCGTTAAAAGTACCTGTTCCTTCTCTTGTTATTTCTTATTTGATCGATTAAATAATCATGCATGCTGATGTTGACCATACTGTTGCGTTAGAACTTAAAATCGACATCGAGTTTATCAGCGATAAATTTTGCTATCGCCATAGAGCTAGTCGCGGCAGGTGATGGCGCGTTTCGACAATGCAGCACTCTGCTTCCGATAGTACCGGTACCGGAGTCGAAAATAAAATCATCGACTAGCTTACCGTCATTATCCAGCGCCTGTGCTCTCACACCCGTCGGCCCTCTGTGAACATAATTTAATTACGGACAGTTCGTGAGAGTTTTACGAGAGCGGGTACTATTACATAAAGAATACTGACCTTTTGACATCCTTGTATGTAATTTCCGGGATAAACTTTTGCAGGTCTTTTACCGCTAGCGGGTAGAAAATCGATTTTATCACTTCCGTGCAGCCCGGTATGAAGTATCGGAAGCACAGTTTGTATAAGCCGGGGAATTTCGCCATTTCTATGCAATCTCTTATATTTATATCGAACCAGCTGAAAGAAAAATTACGCACAATTTTAAAATCGTTATCTTGTATATTACATACATGTAGTCTATTTACTAGCTATTTTTCTTACTTAAATAATTGCATCTAGATGTATATTTTGCAATTTCGCCTGCAGAAATTATCCGATAATACATTTATATTTAGTAAAAGAAGAAAGAATTGTAATATAATTACCTGTAGCCTTCTCTAGCAAGCGCCAGGACAGCGTTGGGACCTAGCCAGATATCGCTGCTCATTCTTGGTGTGAAGTGTACACCTAAGAATGGAAATCTGGGATCGGGTACCGGATAGACGTTAGTCGTGCTGAGATGCCGTTTGTTCTCATTCAGCAGAAGGTACTCGCCACGAAAAGGGATTATACGTGGACTTAGATCGCAGCCCGTCATCACCGCCAGGCGATCTGAATGTAAACCGCCGCACGTCAGCACATTCTTCGTTGGTATGCACTTCAGCAGGAAAGTAGTCAGGGCATTAAGCGACTGTGTGCAACGTGCGAGAAAGGATACGCGATTAGATTAATAGGAACTCTTACTCGATTTTTCGATTGTACGGATATGGGACTCAGTTCACTTTGTCCTTTTGCCTCCGCCATCTCCGCGAACCCTGTTACTTCGAAGTTTAGAAAAATCTCACCTCCCATTTTCTGAAAATCGTTTGCGAAATGTTGGCACACCACTGCCCAATCTACTATGCCGGTCCATGGTGACCATAAAGCTTTTTCTCCCTGCGGACATGATATGATTATTCAAGTGTCTTGGAATTATCATACTTTTGTATGCAATTATATTTTTCAGCATATACAGAACATTAAGAGATTACAAGGGCGATGACATTTCAAATTAGATTTACATTTTAATCTGGCTTCAAATTTGACAATAAATTTATAGCTGAACGAATGCGTTCCGAGATATATAGGGTGTCCCATTTTAAAGGACCCACTCAAATATCTCAGAAACATTGCGTTAAATCGAAAAATGCTTAAGACCAAAGTTGTTTAGCTTGAAAGGGGACATAGGACAGCGATAGCATTTTGTTTATAGATGGCTCCATTTTCGAGATATTTACTGATTATCAATTTTCTTAAATGGAAGTCCAAATTTTTTATTATATCATCTTTTTCTACCAATTTGAAATTTGAACAACTTTTGTCTGAAATATTTTTTTATTTGCTTAATATATTTTGAGATATTTAAAAAAAACTTGGTAACTTTTCCAACATTTATCTTACGATATTTCGCCAACTATTCGTCGAATGAAAAAATAGTATTAGACTTTTTTACTTTATTTACTATCAAGAATATACTACTATAATAGTGCCCTAACTTTTATTAATTTAACAATTTTGAAACTTCCAAAGGTCGATAAGTAATTAGTGATGTAATTGATATCGTAAGGTAAATGTTGGAAAGTTACCAAGTTTTCCTTAAATATCTCAAAATATATTAAGCAAATAAAAAAATGTTTCAGACAAAAGTTGTTTAAATTAAATTAATCGGTAGAAAGAGGTGATACAAAAAACTGGGATTTTCATTTAAGAAAATTGATAATCAGTGAATATCTCGAAATATCTGGCGCCATCTATAAACGAAGTGCTATCGCTGTCCTATGTCCCCCTTCAAGCTAAACAACTTTTGTCTTAAGCATTTTTCAATTTAACGCAATGTTTCTGAGACATTTGAGTGGGTCCCTTAAAATGGGACACCCTGTATATCTTGTATATTAAAAGCACAATCTTTTTTATATTCAAACACGATTACATGCTTTTCGCTTGCGTTATACCTGACACTTGAGTTCGTATTTTGATATGCAGTCTTTTTCAACAATCTGAAGATCCGGGACGTTGTTCTTCGTACCTCGATCGAAGAGTAGGTCTATTTGCTTTGCTTGGTCCTGGTTCTGGGCGACAATAAGCTTGCCGATTTTCTTGTGCGGTATGTTGTTCTTGCAGAAGTATTCGTACGAGAGTTTCAGACCTTCCACACAAAGTTTCGCCTATAAGTTAACGCTGCCGTTTGTTATTCATCATTACTACACGTGCATTGCACAAGCAGAAACAAATGTTGATAATTTCTTGTAGGCGAAAGTAGTATGCTTTTCGTTACCGTGTTTAAATTCTGCATTCGTTTATGGTCTTATTTTTCAGTTCTCGAGTTTACTTGATTTAATTCGCATCGTGCATTAACGCCCAAAGAAGGCGAAGAGAGGCAAGTCGTATCATAATGTGATGATAAAGAGCAGCATTAATTTACCGCTTGTTAGTCCCTACCTTTTATCTTATCACAGCGAGGATTCAGAGGTATCGACTTTCCCAAAGCAGCTGCAGCTGCGAGAAGTCACGGTTTATTTTGGTTTACCTTCATGCTTCCAGGGGTATAATAAATTCCGGCGTGCACCACACCGCTGTTGTGTCCCGTTTGATGTTTAGCCAGCGCGTTTTCTTTTTCGACAATTGCCATTTTCAGGTTCGGGTGTCTCATGATCATCTCACGGGCCGTGGCGCATCCAACGATGCCGCCGCCGACGATCACCAGATCGTACACGGAACATTGATTCCCGCTGAAAATTTAGTTTGCCTGAATTATTCATATAGTTCTCTCTCTCTCTCTCTCTCTCTCTCTCTCTCTCTCTCTCTCTTTATGTGTATGTTTTTTATTTTTATTTAAGAGACAATAATTTCGTGAATTACTTTAGGCAATGCACAGAATTTGAGACAATTGGTTTCAACATTGAAAATGTGCAATATTTCTTTGTATCGTTCATTAACCAATAGTAAAAATAATAAATACGGATGACAGATTCACTGAGGAAGTTAAAAATGGAATTAATATATTCTGGTATAAAATATTTTTAATAAATGCGAAAAATATATGATTAAAGACAAATATTGTGAAATATGTATTATAAATATACATTATCTTGTATTATAAATATACATTATATATCACACACAATAAATATATACATATACACATTACATATATTAAATCATTACCAAAAGTAATAAAATAGAAAATACTGTGTTTCTCTATAAATGAGAAAATTATATGGAAATATAATCTCTACGTCAATCCGCTAAGTATTAAGTTACCTAAGCTTTGTTAGGTACGTGACATGTTTATTAATTCTCGGCTGTAGCTTATTATCAAACATTGACTGGAGATTTGAGTAAAAAGTTGGTAGTTGCACGTTGGATTAAATAGTGTTATCGTTATTAAACGCTAATATCGCGAAAGAAATTTCGAAATTTAAATAAGGATATTTGAGAATAATGATATTTAACATATCCTTGAGTCTTACGACAAAAATCGTTCAACGTACTAACCTTGAGAGAAATCTGTGATGGTATAAGTAATGTAGCTGTGGAATAATTCTCGTGGTTAGAGATGCCATCACGTTTGTGCCCATATTAGATGTTCACGACAGATTTGAATGGGTTTCCTACAAGAACATTGTAATCTTTTACGATTATATTACTTCGGGTAAATGTACGTAGCTAAAAGAAATGATCACATTCATGTCATTTGAATTTTAACAACTGACAGTTAATTTCCTTTTCCTTCTTTCTGTCGATAATTCACCGACGATACAGTAAGCTGCTTTTGATAAATCCAAGTTTAGCACACGCGTGAAAGATTCGGGAAAGTTTTAATTTAATTGTAAAGTTGGAAATGCCAGTTAATGTACACACACACACACACACACACATATACTATATGTAATCATACATATTATTATATTCGTTTCCTTTACTTTTACTTACACATTTTATTCACGTAGATATCGATGCGTGGGGATTAGTTATATAATAAGGTATAATACAATATTCTAATCGTGATTGTTATGGCATTAACAGATTGTATTCACATTGCAAAATGTTGTTTTTATCGCATGATTAAGGTTAGAAAAAGCGCGATATCGCTAGGGATATATATACGCCAAAAGAAAGAACAAGCAGATAACAGTCGCGTCTAGATTAATGACAGAATGAAATATGAACGCTAGGTAGATGGATATAACGCACCAAAACGATCCTCGTGGAATGCTATGTTCTTCGAATTGCACTTGAGACATGATATGAAATTACCTTAAAGGCCGTTATCACGGTACCAAGACGTTATCTGAACATGGCAGCACTGATAGAACAAAATCCAGATGTCTTACAATACTAGCTCGTCGTTGTCACGAGGAGCTATGACTCAATAGTATTTCATAGGTACTAAACAACTGGCTCAGGAACGGCATTAGACTGAAGTTTTAGAAGTGCATTCGATCTCTTCCTCTTGATCTCTCGTACATATTACGATTTTATTGGACTTTTTTTAACTTAACATCCCTTAACTAAGTGTAATTATTAATGATGATATTTCTTATTTTTATTCAGTTTCTACTTAACATCGATATAAAATAGACTCATTTTTATGATTATTTTAACAATTGATTGTAGATTGAAGGGAAAATTGTTAGGGTGAGACATTAAATATATATTGCATTCGTAATGTATAATTATTGTTAATCAATATTATTTATTGCTAATCAATAGCCAATAATCCTAAAATAGAATATTAACGGAGTCTCGATAATGGAATATGTTAACGATAGTTATTCCTTTGTGAATTATTATTGGTGATTATTGGTGATTATTATTGGAAATATAATCATTTTCTGATCAATAATTGAATTTAATCCGCATGCTAAAGAGACCGTCCCTGAGATGTTGTGCGTTATATTGATTGTTGTAATCGATAAAGTCGGTTGCACTGGCAAGTGGCGCCTCACGCGGTGCGATGCGGTGCAATTCGATACTTCGTGTCGACGTGCATATCGATTATCGAAAATTTCAAATAGCAGTATCCTGATCGTTCGCACCGCGATGAAACTGGATTTATTTGCGCGTCAAATAATGCGCGTCTGTTTATTCATGTCCTTCGTATGTGCTTGTTGTAATACATATATGACTAATGAAGGATCTATCTAACTTGTAGCTGGAGCATATTTGCGTAAATATTCCGCACATACTCATACGTATACATTTATCATATATCATGAAGTATAAAAAGCGTATAAAAATACAGTTAAAAGTCATTTTGATATCGAAATGATTATAATGAAACTGGTAACGGATATCTTTTCTTATAAAGTAATCTGATAGATATTAGCATGTTTGTAACAAATATATCCATTGATTATCAAAATACAATTTAAATCATGCGTGAGTAACGGAAATTTTCAAATCCATCTATAATGATGGAAATAGTCATTTTATCTCGTGCCAATGAAACTCGTAATTAAAATAAGACACCTTCTATTAGAAAGGCAATACATTTATGAATACCGTAAAACATAATATTGACAACGACCAGAATAAAATGCAGTGACTTGTATATTATTAATTGACGTTTAACGCTAAAAATGTTCTACCTCGTATTTCATTAATATAATTCAGAATCTAAATCAGGCGGATAATATTCATAATCGAATGACTACGTTTATCGTTAAATGCAGCATTAAGTACATACGAGAATACCAGCATGCGCAATAAATATAACGAGTTATCGAGGCCGCCACGGTGATTTCGAAACGACTTTTTCCTAAGTGACAAATGACCGTGTCGGCAACTCGACTTTGCTTCTCGACAAACAGCGCACTTATGTAGGACCGTAGAAATCAATTAACACCCTAACAGTGCTTCAGTGCGTTAGATGTTCTTTCTTCATACGCGAATCTCGTGGCACTCTGACATTTTTAAAAGGTTTTAAAGATCATCCATTTGAACCATTCATTGTGAAATATCAAAACATTTTTTAATCTAATCGAATTTTCTCATCACAATTATAAGATCTGCAATATCTTTTTATATTTTTCATTTTAAAAAACGTATTTTGTTGAGATAGTTGTCAATAGATACAAACGATATGTTAATTTTTTAATTTTTTAATTACATATTGCTCGTTAATTTTTTAATTACATATTGCTCGATTTCTGGAAATTGTTGATGTACAATCAGGATTTATATACAATACGTAATTAACACAAACTAATAATATATAAATGTCACGAGCATGTGTCGAGACACAAAAATTTAATTCTTTGTCTAGAAAATCTAGTGTCTAGAAAATCGACTTTTTTGTAGTCGAGAAAGATTTTTGTATCAATTGTGCCTTTTTAATGGTATGCATGACCTCGATGCTCGACTTGACGTCGTGTCACGTGTGCTCTCGTAGGATCGAAAGAAAAAACAACGATATCGGCGACGACGATGACGACGACGACGACGACGACGACGACGACGACGACGACGACTACGACACGGTAGATATTGTTTCGCCGAGGTTTCTCGCGCGGTGATAAATGACCCCGCGTCCACATTTCTCAGTTCCTCGTTGCGCGCGGATGTATGAACGCGTACGAAGTCGAACGGTTCGCGAACGGCCGAAGAGTAATTGGCAGTTATGCGGCAGACGTAATCCAATTTATCATTTAGCAAAGGAAACGGAGTAATATCTCCGTGAGAAATAACGTCGTAGACGTAACCGCGAAAGGAATACGCGGTTGAAAATGCCGAGTTGCCTGCCTGCATCGTCAGTCTCGCGTTTGCGTTTCAGCACCCGCAACATTTCGTTATCTACTCGCGCGCGATTTATTCCACTCGAAATCCTTCATTTCACGTTATTTCTAAGACTCGAATGTTGAACCAGCGTTGAAATATCTCCGTCTTATAAAAATGGATCCCATGCACCCGCGATTTCCCCCCCGCGAGAGATCCGGGGTCGGCGCGAAGAGAACGTCGTATCAAGACCACGTCTTACATAGTAAGCGCTAATATTTCATTGTTCTAAATGCACCTCGCTCGCTTTCTCTAAGCGCAATACCATTAATCCCGTCATCAATAATCGCACGCTCGCGGTATCAGGAGCATTATTTTAAAGACAGGCGTGCCCACGCGCGACCGAGTGGAGATATAAATAAACGATCGCTTAATAGCGTTGGCACGGTGCCCGGTAAACAATTTCGATGTCGGTACGATCGTGGCGCGGTTTCACGATATTAGCGGCAAGTTTCGTTATCCTGCGGAGAAGGGGGGTTGGGGATGCATTACGTAAGCGCGCGCGCTCATAGAATGCGCCAATGCACGAAAGTTCGCCCGTGTTTTCGACCGGGTTCGTTCATCTGCGACGTACGCGGATCCCGACACTTTGATTAAGTAAGAAAAGTTTCGACTGAGAGTTGTATAACGCGGCCAATCATCATACGGCCAGCTGCACCGCACCGTGCGCCGCACCTGGCCACTATTATCGCTCGGTATCTGTAAATTCCTGCCCTTTCCAACCCTCTTTCCCATTGTCTCGTCTCGCTCCTTGGAGTACCGGGGTCTTTTGCACATCTCTACGGCACCCACCACCGGTTGGCTGTGACTGTCTTTCTGTTTTACGATCTCGTACATCAGCAGCGAGATACTTCTATGTCGGTGCTGCGACGGTATTCGTCGTGAAGTTCCACGCAGCTTGTAGTACGTACGAAGTTACCGCAAATATCCCGCGAGTGCTCTCTTCATTCTCGCTGAGCGAATACTTCGCTGAAGTGAGAATGACTCAAGTTTTATACGAGCGATCGTTTCTTCTCGTCTGGAAAGAAACCGCGGTCGCCTGGTTATACAATTATCTAGTAAAAAGCTAACGGTAAACTGAAATGGGAAAATGTTTTATTTTAAAATGCGTTCGCAAAGTGTATAGACTGCAAACGAGCTGCGAAGAAACGAGGTTTCGTTAATAAGATACTTTTATTAATAAGGACAGAGATCTAGGGACTTTCTCTCGTTTCTTATTTGTATGAAAATTAGAGAAGAACATAATAGCTAATGATCTTAAAGAGACGCGATGAAGACGTCACTGTATTAATTCATACATATATTATTAATTCATACACTGTATTAATACATCGCAATATACTTAAGAATGTTTACACATTTTTAGATAAAATCTATATTCGCGTACGTAATACCGAAACGAGTTCATTATAGGCGCCTTACGTAGGCGCGCCCCTGAAATATGTGTTCAGAGCGTGAAACCGGTTTCATACGCTGTGACTAATTTCGCAATAACATAGTTTAGTTACTCGAAAATCTTACGTTTACGACAGAAACGTGACTGTCGTATGAATAAAAAGATCGACTTTTACCGAGCACGAGATAAGTAGAATGGAAACGTGAATAAATTATAACACGCGGACAGGAGAAATATTCACATCATTTGTCTATATTATAAATGTTCGAGCAAATTGATACGTGTGTACGTTTGGCTGCAAATATAAATACATTATTGTAAATACGCACATTGTTAATCAGCCATGTCGCGTTAATTACTCGCTGCAGAACTGTTACATGGAAGCAAGAAAACAAATATCGCGACAGTAGCTTCAAAGAAATGTGGAAACGGCTGGCACGAAGCTGCAAGAGAGAGAGAGAGAGAGAGAGAGAGAGAGAGAGTAGCTCGGCCCGCGAAGGATTAACGAATCTGCGTAAGACAAGCGGGATTAGAGTTACGAGTGAACTATTAGAGTTTCTCCAAGATACGAGAAGAGGGGAATGCGCTGCGTAAAGCTTGGGAAGCCCCGGAGATTGGCAGTAGGAAAACGACGCGAGCGCACTCGGTGCCCCCGTGCGGTCACGCTCCTGAACGTGCGTGGCCGCGGTGCGCGACGGTTCTTTGACTCGGCGCCGAGAGTCAGTCAACCCGGTGACGGCTTGCTGGTGGTGTTGTTCTCTTTCAAGCGGGATCCTCGGCGTTTACGAGCTCGAGCGAAGACGGCGAACGCGCGCGTCCGCGTGTGTGCGTGCATCGGGAGTACAACGCCTGATAACAACGTGCGTCGACTGAGAACGTGCGTCAAGTTGAAGAACTACATACTTGTCGCCGATCTTGGGGAGAGATCGGACTCGTTTGTCGCGCACGAAAGTACGCGATCGGTGAGGAAAACAGAAGAAAGAGAAAGACAAGACGAACAGACGGCCGCCGGGAAAATGCGAAAAGCCCGCAATGCGCGCGATCGACAGGTGACACGTTCCCGCTGAAACGTGGAAGAGCCCGCCGCGAGTCTCGTCGCGAAAAACGAGGTGCGTCCTTCGCTCGGCACTACGCAATGGGTCGCCAACGAACTCGCCGCTGAGCGAGGTATCGAGAGATCGATCGTTCGGCGCGATCGAAACGTCGGATCGGCGCGCGTGATCCGTCGTTTGCGACGTTCCTCCGGGAGAATCTCTGATCACTCAGTGGGATGAGACCAGGAAGCGCGCGTGATCCCTGAGTCAAGATCGATCTAAGCGGCTCTAATCGACAGACGAGGGCTCGAGTCTCTTGCGTCGGGATTACGAAGTTGCAACAGCGGAATAACGTCCAAGGTATCCTCATGAGCGGAGCGTGTCCCTGCTCATGAAACTACATCTCGACGAGACCTTGGAGTACGTGTAGGTTTGTTCACGGTAAATCGAAGCTGTAGCCATTGGCGAGAAGGCGCACTGAGGAATCCACACCACAAGTCCACACCGCTCTCGACGCTCCGCGTTTGTCCTTCACCAACGAGGCGCGATCGCTTCTGGAGCAATCCGACGGTGAAAGGAGCAATCTCAACGGAAACCTTTGACGGCCACTGTAGCGTTGCTTGTTATCGGCACGTACGTTATCGGCACGCGCGTTCTTGAAGAAACTCTGATACTTTATCCACCAACGATCCGAGCTACCGGCGAGCTCGGCAAGATTTACGGACAACTCATCGGGAACTTCAGAACGACCAACAGACGAGCAACTGGTGCGTCCGCCGCGATGGAAGACGAGCTACGTTGTCCTTGCTGCAAGGAACTGTTCGTGGAGCCGGTGCTGTTGCCGTGCTGGCACGCGTTGTGCTTATCGTGCGCGGTGAATCTGCAGGCACCGCCGGACTCACCGCCGGAGTCGACCGCCGATTCTTCAAACGCACCCGGCTCCGATCAGGAAGCCGACAAATTGTCGATCCTGTCGGAGACCGACTCCGGCGTGGTGTGCAGCAGCACGTCGACCAGCTCAAGACCGGGTAGCTACGTCGGCACCCCGGGCAACGGTGGTTTCCCGCCGTCCGGCGGCACTCTCTGTCTCTCGTGCCCTGTCTGCCAGAAGACGGTCTACTTCGACGAGGGCGGCGCCCATAATTTGCCCAAGTATCGGGCGATGCAACACATCGTCGACAAGTATCAGGAGTCGCGCAACACGCGGATGCAATGCCAGATGTGCGAGGGAGAGCCACGCGACGCGACCGTCGCGTGCGAGCAGTGCGAGGTTAGCGAATGTCTGATTATGTAGAGCGAGGGTGTAATCGGGTTGCTTGATGATTGGATGGTTGATGGGGTAGTAGCGGTAGGAGAAGTGGATTGGATGGATAAGAGCAAAGTAGCGCTTCATTCACGCTCATTCACGCCCCGCGAATGTGATTGTTCTCGGTGACATTGGAAAACGCCGGGTTCGCGCAAGATTTGGAATTTGATCAGGGAATGGTATCGAATAAGACGTATTTTGAGGAATGCAGAATTATGGGCATAATTTAAGCGGGATTTAAGGATTCTTGATTGAGAGGGCGGGAGGGCCGCGGTATGATCGAGAAATCAGGAGCGTAATAATGCTGGTTTAATGTTTCGTCGTAGATTTGTTTTTACTCGCGATTTCATCCTTACTCGCGAATTTTATTCTTGCTTCAAGGTGAATTTAACCAAGTACAAAAACAATTTCCATAGTGAAATGAAGTGTAATGGACGTGTAACTTTGGCATAATAAAAAATGTAGAATTTCGTAAGTTTGCGAACGATGGTGAAGTGCGAGATAATCCGGTTTTTCATGAACCCTCTTTTCGTTTCCGTGTCAAGAACTTTGTATCTTCACAGACGTTTTTGTCTTTGCAACTCTGCATACGTAAAGAAAAGCGTATATATCTTTGGACTAAACAAAAGACATGTAGCGTGACATTTGTGTAAGCTTTTCACTATTTTCGTTTCCCCGGCCTGTAGGTAGGAAGACTCGTGTCCTCGTGAACCGAGAAAATAAGGGGAAAGAGCCTCATCGTTGAAAGCCGGCTTTATTTAGAAAGATGTCTACAAGAAAATGTCAGATACGTAATACGCACTTAAAATGTTGCAAGTTGTATGTCTATCTCTCGGAAAAATTTTAAAACGAAGATAAATTTATACATCGATAAGATGTCACGCTACATCGTGCACAATAATTAACTTTTATCGTGCAGTCTTTCGCGTGCGTGTATCATTTACACATACGACGAAGCATTTTCGCGAGTTCTCCAGTCAACTATTCCCGCTGGGGGAGACGATGTCTAATCCGTCTGTTGCCGTTGTTCCGCTCTTCAATATTTCTGTCCCGGTAGCTCGGCTCGTTGGCCGAACGAGAACTTCCGTGCCGTAAGATCGAGATCGGAGAAAAGTTCCCAAGGCTACCATTCTTAACGACCGTGGCGGTGGTATCAGACCGCGTGTTTATTTCTCTTGTGTGCTTTCCTCATCCAGAGGCTCGTTAACTCTCCCCCTCCTTCACCTCTCTTTCACCCTTGAAGTCCACTTCATAACTTTCCTCTTTGCGGTATAAGCGCACTAGAAGCTTTCGTTTGCGAGAGCTACGTCTACGTCCGTATCGACATTAATATCGGACGTTATGGGCGTTGTCACCCCCATGAATATTTTAATCGCTCGAAATCGCGTGCACAGAGAAGGGGCACGCAGGAGATGCTAGGGTTTTGCGTACGGCGATACTACGAAGGTTGTTTATTTATCTTCAGGATACTTAGCGTTTCGATCTCGGTATAACCATAACAAAGCAAATGTTTTTCGTTCGAGTCGTATAGACGTTCGACTGACGTTCGAGCATCGCGATTGTTTATAAAGCGAGTTATTTCCATCTTGTCTTTCGGCCTTACTGGACAGAATATGATCAGGCGCGCATCGTTCTCTCATTGAATATTCAGACCCTGTTCCGATCTACTGGACAAAGATACCTTAAGTGATGTACGTTACGTTATATTTACATATCTCTTATAATTTATTCTCAACAATTATTTTCTTTCCACAAACGTGTATCTTAAAGGGATTATATTGAATGAGAGAGAAAGTCATGAATTTTCTCTCATATTTTCCAACCATACATCTCTATATGTTTTTCAATTATATTATAGTTCTAAGCAAATTTGATGAGTTTTGCTAAGTTGAAGTTTCACTAATTGTAAGATGTACAGTAATAGTGTCTTTCAGTCTCGATCGTAATCTCGGGATTTTTATAATATATTTGAACAATTTATTCGCTGTTGCATGCAAATCACTGTTACATTGCATTCACACTGAAAGAGAACATTTTTGTATTGTTCGGCGCTTTGTTTGAAAAGATCGAGTTACCGCCGTTTCGGAGTGGCGCGTCGCATGAAATATCTCGTTGTGCGACAACATGCGCGCCAATCGCACCCTCGCGCCACCCTCTTGCTCGCTTTCCTCAAAGTGTTAAATTTCATTTTCGGCCCTCTCGTGCAGCCCCTCCGGTGTACCGCGTTGCGACAAGTGGCGGATATTTTTTCTGTGATTTTGCACTCGCGTCTGTCGCGTCCTCGCTCCTCGTATCGCGTAGGGGGGGGAAAAAGAGGAACGATGGCGCCCACATAGTTTCATTCGTCGCAGCAACGACAATGTCCCGACCATCGATAACCGACGTGATATTATTTCCGAATTGGAAATACCAAGCGAGGAATACTGACGCGATGCTGCGTTATACCACGTCCAAATTGTTAGCAGACGCGGGCGGGAGATATCGCTTAATAATTATCGATGAGTTCACGTTTACGTTTACCTTTATATAAGTTTAATAGAGTTGAGCTCGCGCTACTGCCCAGGGCGTAAGAAAATTTCATCAGCGCATCCATATTCATCTTACCGTCCTCGATATTTAACGAAAAAACGCGGTCAAAAGGGAAAAAATACGGCCCTCACGGCCGTTGAATGATTTTCGATCGATCGATATTTTTTATAGTGACATTTTTTCTCCAGGCGCTCGATATTGTGAATATCGATGCGCTAGATATGAGCGTCGGTCTCTCTGGAATTTTTTAATATTTTCTTTTACAAATCCGTGATCGGATCATCGACGCGCGATATACGTCACTCTGAGGAAGATCGATATTGTTTTTCCTCCAGGTTTTATACTGCGATGCATGCAGGGAATCCTGTCATCCGAAAAGGGGCCCACTGGCGGCCCATAATCTGGGACCTCCGAGAGGCAGCTGGCAATCGAGCGGGAGCAAGGGATCCCGTGGCCTGGGGCCGGAAGGTACGCCAGTTTGCAACGACCACAATGGCGAAGCGGTGACCCTTTATTGCGCTTTGTGCAAAATCGCGATATGCGCCCTGTGTCTTCGTGATCGTCACGCCGCGCATCCTCACGACGTGCTGCCGTTGGCTGCTGCCTGCAAAGCTCAAAAAGTGAGTACTTTTTGTTTGTTGCTTGGATTTTTTTTGCACAAGCATTGCACAAGTTGGAAAGAAATAAATTGCCACGAAGCGATAATTATCAGTATGGAGAGAGAAGATCGACTCCGTCGAAAGACGAGGAAATTAGAAATGCGCGATAAAAATGGGAGAAGGGTAAAAATGGGAGAAGAATGGAGTCATGAAGAAACACACTGACACAAAAGATAAAATGTATTTCTATCCGGTTGTTTTATGCGATGAAAGAGAGTTTCTATCTTATTTGAGAGTTAAGCAGAGTTAACGTGAGAGTTAACGCGCGCGCGACGCGCGCTTTACGGCATTATCGTTGGATCAGCGCGCAATCAGCGCGGCCCGCAATACGCGATAATATTAGAGGCCGAATCGAAACCTCGAACGGTTAACGCGGACATCGTGTTGGACGGTTGCTGGCACCAGGGGATTACGATAGATTTACCGAAGAATGATGTTTGCCGGCGGAATACGCGGCGCGATAATATATGTATATTTGATGACGAACTCCGGCGTAATTTATGTGCCTAGCCCGCACACGAGTAAAATCCGAAAATAATGGATGATGCGCCAGCGCGTTAACACGACCAATAATTGAGTTTCAATCTACCCGCTCGTACGCTATACGCGCACTTCGGCGCTCTGGAGCGTAGTTTTGCGCCAAGCTCCCCCCGATTATCCTCCTATCGTATTTTGCATGCCGCATGATTCCGCGCGTTTCTACGCGCGAGTCATTAGCGGGATCAACCATGAAAAATACATTGCCGTTATGCTAATCAATCACATCGAGCGTATTTGCGCATCTGCCGTTCCGCGGAAAATGGGATATAATTAGACAGCGTGCAAAATATGTTACGTGATAGGATACATAATTACGCATCTCCATTGGAAATATGTTACTCTCTGATCGGGTGTAATTACGTGTCGTTAAAATCGCTAATGCCTTTGAAATTCCCCCGCGTAGATCTCTACGCTGTTCGCCGCTTACTGTGTGTGAATAGCCTTGCATACGCCATTATTGTCATTATCATCGCGCGCGATGCACATCTATTTTATTCCAGATATCCCATTATCTTATAATAGATATACACAACACAGATACCATATATACCATATATATATATATATATTAGCACACTGTTATCAGACCTTTTTCATAGCTTCAAAGCGATAGCAAACGTTATTACGTTTCCACTCTCATCTCGGAGACGTAACATCCGCGGAAATTACACGGACGAGGAAATTGCGGTAGCGCGAATAAGGGCGGGCGATTTTGCAACGAGCCGCAGCCGCGCAACCCCGCGCGAGATCGCCGGCGCTGTCGCCTTCGTGCGCTCGTCTGCATTTTCCCCGAGGCTACTGCAACGGACGGAACAGTGCGACCGGTGCGCAGCAACAATATTCGGGGATCGTCCGATCGACAGCTGGTTTCGATATCGCATGTCCCCCCGCGTGGGTGTGCCCACCTCGCGTCGTGCGCGACACACGTTGTTGCTCTGCCCCCCGTCGCGCGCGCAGGAGAGCGCTTTCGTCCGGCCGACGCCGTCACCTGGTCACCTTCCTGACATATGGAGGCCGTGCTTGGTCCCATCACCCGCCGGGAATCACTTCCTCCGCGATTAATCTGATAAATTGCCCCGCGGCCCAGTCAAAACCGCCTGACTCCGGCAATTTCGTAATTGATTGCCGCCGGACGAGCGACCGCCCCCCGACGGGCGCGTACGCTTTTGTTTGCACTCGCCGGCCATTATATCTCGAGATAGTCGAGCTCCAGTGATAAGATCGATAGAGTTCGCGTCGCTCCATCCGCGTCCGTCCGTCCGTCTGTGCGTGCCCACGTGCCTGTTTCGTCGGGAAAACTTCAGTGCACAATGCACTAATCGTCGACATCCGACGATTATCCGACGAGTCAGATGGTAACTGACTCTGGCGGTTCGATCGGTGACGCCTCAGCGAAAACGGGAAATCGCTCCGGGGGTCTGCACTCGTCCTGCATATCGTTGCCTGCATCGTTGCATGTTGCGGATAAACGTCATGTCTCGAAAGACAATTTTATTATTACTCCGAATTGAACGTGGGTCATTTGGGAGATTGGACGCAGCAAGCGAATTTCGCCGTTTATCGACCGTTTAACGTCCGAAAAACGGACGGCATCCCCGAAGAGATGTCCTGGTAACAAAATTTCCCCTGCTCTCCCACCCCAAGTAAATCCCCTCGAAGATTGCCCGTTCTCGTCGTTAATGCCGAGATTATTTTCAACGGTCGACCGAGGCACGATTCAGTCCCGAAAATGGTGTCTTCTGAATAATGTATCTCAGCACGAGCGTTTATCGAGGCCGGGAACGCGTTGAAAGTGCAGTCGCGATAAAGTAATTTGCAACAGGCTCGTTTATCAGCGACGAGGCTGCGAAGATACCGGCTTGCCGATCGTAACTTGGGTGCGGATTGCAATCATGTCAGCCACGAACGTTGCGCACGTTACGTCGCATTTTGACACGTAATCATCCGTCACTTTGTCTTCCTCCCCTCTCCCTCCCCCCTCTCTCTCTCTCTCTCTCTCTCTCTCTCTCTCTCTCACCCTCTCTCTCCCTACTGTCACTCGTCCTCTTCCCGTATGCTTTACACACACCGGGTATCGCACACGAATTGTGCGCGATGCCCGGCCATTATTACACATTAATGTTGACGTACGGGGCAATACTCGCATGTTGCACCCGATATTTCGGTAATTAGTCTACCCGGTCGTCCGCTAATCAAGGGAATGCCCGCGTGTACATGCGCGGATCGGTATTCGTGTTTGCAATCACGATACTACAATTCGATATGTGAGCGCAAGTAGTAAGCAGTTAACGGAGACTTTGAAATGCAGATATGTAATACCGCAGATGATAACGTCAAATTTAAATACTACCACACGCGCATGCGCGTAGAGAAGTGTAACGTGTCAAGAGACTTGTTTTCCTTCGCTTTTATTATGCTGTTCTTATGTGCAACTTTTAATTCCGCTCTTTAGATAAGATCGAGGTTTTAAACTGGCACTACTCGCCGATTTTGCAATAATACACTTTGATTTGTAGCACGTTACATCGCGTGTTAATAACGCGTTTTCTCGAGGCGCGAATACGATAGAAAAATGTTTATCAGCGAGATAGCGATCGTTCTCGTTTCGGCGCTGGAAAAGTGCTGCCCGTACTTATCGTCGCTATCGCAGCCGTCGATGGCATCACGACGAATGGCTCGCGCGTCGCCGCTTAATCGACTCGCTAATAACTACGGCGATGGTCTCGATTGGTTTTAAACGGAAGACAACGCGGCTGAGTGATGGTGTGGGTCGCGAAGGACTGCAATAATAATAATCGATCGTCGGACTCGATCGCAGCCGCGCGTTCCCGCCCGTCCTTAATTGATTATAAATCCCCTCAATCGATATGAGACCGCGTTTTAATAGACATTTGACGCGTGACGATGGAATAACGCCGTTCGCTCTCTCTCTCTCTCTCCCTCTCTCTCTCTCTCTCTCTCTCTCTCTCTCTCACTCCGGTAATTTTCGAGATATTCAAGACTCCTGAGCACGAGAGAAAGAGAAAAAGATAGAAAGAAAGACGTCTTAATTGAATATCTGACGAATACTACAAATCCATGTTTCCCATTAGCGCTACAAATGTGCTAATCAATAATATTGGAACCGTTAATTTATATTTCAGATACACGGAGAATAGAAAAAATTGATATTATTAATTTTATTGTTCACGGTTCAACTTTAAATATCGAAATATTGATTTGGAGATTCAGAAAGAGTGAAAAGAAGGTATATGAAAAATAAGGTTAGAAATAACAGGTTTGCGCAGAAATAATGCTGTACCAAGGAAAATTTAAATTTAGTATCGGTGAAATGGTAATATTTTATGTTTAAACTGAAGTGAAAAAAGACAGTATTGTTAAATTTAAGATAAGAATCGCGGAATGTCTTTTAAGAGCGTCCATTGTGATCTCTCGGCCAACGAGATGTCGCGTCCTTGATTGGCGGACAACGACACTTGGCAATTGGCGAGGAACGTTTTTGTTGGCTCTTGCCGGTTGTTTGTACTTTCACACGTCGCGTATCTTTTTACGTGACCGAATCATTATGTTTCGAGCCAACATGCTATGTACACAACACGACGTGGAACACGTGTATTGGCGCGTGAACCAACACATTCCCGTCGTTCTTAAAATTTTAATCAGATTCTCGTCGACGCGTCGCGTCATTAACACGTGTTTCTTCAACAATATATTTCTTGAGTTCTTGTAATTCCCCTTTTGTTTCGACATCGATCGATATTTTTTCTCTTCTGTTTATCATTAATGTATATCGTACCAAATTTAACTTCTAATTCTGTAATGAAATTTCTATTAGAACACGATGTAAAAAAAAGTGTCATACATTGATCTTTCAAGTTTGATGAAATTACAAGATTAATATAGAAGCAAAATTTCAGCTCGGGACGTTTTGCATTTTTTCGGGGAGCACCGCTGGTGAGAAATCCAGTCGAATGTGATATCCAAAGTCAGAATATTACATTCATGAATCGTGCATGGTCTTGTGTAAATATGCATAAATATGCATATCTTCGTGTATCTAATGGTTCGATTCTAGGACACGACAATATATTACAAGATTCGATTACTTAGTAGTTAGCAGCAAATAGACAATGGTTGACCCTGATCCTTCGTGTCAAGTTTGCTTGCGTGAAATCGATTGTTTGCGAAGGGTACATCCTGCAGTCTCCGTAGTCTTTAAGCTTGAGAATTGCCGCGGTAGATTGCACGCCTAGGGAGATTGTTACGGGCACAATGAAAACGGCCTTTTCAGCGTTGACGAGAGAGATTACATTTGAAAGAGAAATTATTATGTAACAAATGCAAATAACAAGCAGATTTTCGTGACTCTCTCTCTTTCTCTCTTTCTCTCGCTATTTGCTAGTATAAGAATTGTGTCAAAG